AAGAAATATGAACAAAATATCAAAGACCTACAGGAAACCATCAAGAGAACTAACATGGCTAATGGGAGTCCCAGAAAGAGAGGAGAATAATATATTTTAAAGAAAAAAAGAGTAAAAAATATAATTGAAGGAATAATAACCAGAAACTATCTAAATACTCAAGGTTGGGTGGCCGGCCCGGTGGTGCAAGCAGTTAAGTACGCGCGCTCCACTATGGTGGCCCGGGGTTCACTGGTTCAGATCCCGGGCGTGCACCGATGCACTGCTTGTCAAGCCATGCTGTGGCGGTGTCCCATATAAAGTGGAGGAAGATGGGTGTGGATGTTGGCCCAGGGCCAGTCTTCCTCGGCAAAAAAAGAGGAGGATTGGCAGATGTTAGCACAGGGCTGATATCCTCACAAAATAAATAAATAAATACTCAAGGTTGATTTTTTTTAAAGTTAATCTAAGGATCTGAAAAGCTCAAAGAAACACAAGGAGGATAAACATAAAGAGATCCACACCTAGATGCATCATAGTCAAACTATTGAAAGACAAAGACAAAGAAAAGTCTCAAAAGCAGTAACAGAAAAATGACTCTACATGCATAGGGGGAAAACAGTATGATTAACAGCTGACCCCATAAGAAGTAATGGAGACCAGAGGGCAGGAGGATGACAGATTTGGAGTACTGAAAGAAAAAAACCCTGTCAACCAAGATAGGATATTGATCCAGCAAAACTGTCCTTTGAAAATGAAGGCAAAATAAAAGCATTCACATACAAAGACTAAGAGAGTCGGTGGCTAGCAGACCTACTCTATACGATATACTAAAGGAATTCCTTCAAGCTGACACCATATGACAACTTAAATTCATACAAAGAAATAAAGATCCATGAAAAAGGTAAATACCTAGATATATAAAAGATTGTATGAATATATTTTTATTTAATTTTCCTTATTTAAAATACACTGCATAAAATAATAATGATAAAACTGTATGATGGGCACATAACATAAAGATATAACATGTGACAATAAAAGCACAAAAGAGGGAGGACAAATTGGAGCTGTATTGGAAGAAGATTTCTGTATTTTACTGGGAGTAAGTTACTACTAATCCACAGTAGATTGTAATAAATAAGAGTTTAACCTCTACAGTAACCAACGAGAAAATAATTCAAAAATATGGTGTAAAAAAAGAAACAAAGAAGAGAATTTAAATGGTACACAAGAAAATATTTATTTAGCACAAAGAAAGCAGTACAGGAGAAGAGAGGAATGAAAAAGAAATGAGACATAGCAAAATGGCAGACATAAGTTCAACCATATGAGTAATTTAAATGTGAATGGATTAAACATTTCAATCAACAGAAAAATTGTTAGACTGGGTTTTTTTTAAATTATAGCCCATGCAAATAGTAAACAAAAGAGGGCTGAAGTGGCTATATCAATATCAGTCAAAATAGATTCTAACAGAAAAATATTACTAAAGAAAAAGAGGGACATTTAATAATGATAAAGGTTCAATTCATTTGAATGATATAATAATTATAAAATATATGTACCTAACAACAGATCCTCGAGATATATGAAGCAAAAACCGACACACTTGAAAGGAAAAATACACAATTCAACAATAATAGCTGAAGACTTCAATACCCCACTCTCAATAATTGATAGAACAACTACACAGAATATGGGTAATATACAAAACAAACAAAACTATTAATGAACATGACATATCTTACATTTATAGAGCACTCCACCAAACAAAAGCAGAATACACATACTTTTCAAGCACAAGTGGAATATTCTCCCTCAGGAAAAACTGAATGCAACACCATAAGTCTCAATAAAAGGACCACAAGTCTCAATAAAATTAAAAGGACTAAAATGATGCAAAATATGTCCTATGACCACAATTGAATTAAATTAAAAATCAAAAAGAGAAAGAAATGTGGGTGATCCTCAAATATTTGTAACTTAAAAAACATATTTCTCAATAACCCATGAGTCAAAAAAGAAATTACGAGGAAAACTAGAAAATATTTTGAACTGAATTAAAATGAAGAAAAATACATATAATTTAAGGGATGCAGAGAAGTGGTGCTTAGGGGAATTGTATAGCTTTCAACACTTATATAAGCAAATAAGAAAATAAGAAAGATCTCAAGTCAATAACCTGAGTTTCCACCTTAAGAATCTAGCAGAAAAAAAGAGAATAAGTCAAGAGCAATTGGAAAAATGAAATAATAAAGATTAGAGCAGAAATCAATGAAATAGAAAACAAAAAAAAAACTACAGAGAAAAATCAATGAAATTAAAATATGCTTCTTAAAAAAAAGATCAACAAAATTGTCAAACTTTACCTAGACTGATCAGGAAAAAAAGGAGAGAAGACACAAATAACCAAAATCAGACATGAAAGGGGACATCACTAATGACTTCACAGAAATAAAAAGTATTATAATGCAACATTATAAACTTATGCCAGAAATTAGACAACTTAGATAAAACAGACAAATTCATAGAAGAAAAAATTACTAAAATTACTCAAGAAGAAATAGAACATCTGAATAGACCAAAGAAATTGAATTAGTAAAACAAACAAACACAAAACCTTCCCACAAATTAAATTCCAGGACCAGATGGCTTTACTGGAAACTTTTACTAAATATTTAAAACCAATTCTTCACAAACTCTTCTATAAAGAACACTTCTCAACTCATTCAGTGTTACACTGATACCAAAGCCAGACAAAGACATAAAAATAATAATAGGGACCAATATCCCTCATGAATATAAACGCAAAAATCCTCAACAAAATATTAGCAAACTGAATTCAACAACTTATCATACACCATCACCATGTGAGATTTATCCCAGAAATGCAAAGTAGATTTAACATCTGAAAATCAACTAATGTAGCATACCATATTAACAGATTCAAATTAATAGACTCAAGAATAAATACCACATGGTCATTTCAATAGATATAGACAAATATGTTGACAATTCCAGTATACATTTCTGATAAAAATTCACAACAAACTCAACTATATCATAACTTTTTCAACCTGGTAAATGGCTTCTACAAAATAAACCTACAACTAACATTACGCATAATGGTGAAAAACTGAATACTTTTCATCGTATATCTGAGGAAAGATTTGTATACAGAATATATAAAGGACTCTTATGACTCAATAAAAAGGCAAACAACCAAAATAGAAAATGGTGAAAAGACTTGAATAGAAATTCACCGAAGGAGATACAGAAATGTCTAATAACATGAAAAGTTGCTGAATATCACAATGAGATACCACTTCACACCTACTAGCATGTCTATAATCAAAAGAAAGGCAATAGATGATAGTGAGGATGTAGAGAAACTGGAATCTTATTACATTGCTGATGGGAATGCAAAATAGTACAGCCACTGTGGAAAACATTTTGGCAGTTTCTTAAGCTAAATTTATGGTAAGAGCTAGCATCTACCCAAAAGAAATGAAAATATATGTCGACACAAAGACTTTTATAGACAAATGTTTTGACAGTAATACCCATAATATCCAAAACTTGGAAACAACATAAATGTCCGTCAACTGGTGAATGGGCAAATAAAATACATTATATCCATATAGTGAAATACTATTCGGCAATGAAACAAATGAGCTAAAGATATGTACCAGAACATGGATCAACCTCAACATCATTATTCTAATTAAAGAAACCAGACAGAAAAGACTACACAGTATATGACTCCTTTTAGATGAAATGTACAGGAAAGGCAAATTCATAGGTAGAAAGAAGATTAGTGACTGCCCACAGCTGGAATTGAGTGCTAGCATTGATTGGAAATGACCATGAGGGATCTTTTGGGGGTGATGGAAGTATTCTAAATTTACTAAAAATCATGAATTATAAACTCAATATGGGTGAATTTTATGATATGTAAATCATATCTCAATAAAGTTGCTTTAAAAATTCAAGTGTTTACCCCATCAACAAAAGTGAAGTATAAAATTGAGGAAAATATGTCAAAACCCCAGATGAGATAGCCATTTACACCTGGAGTAAACATGTAATTGAGGCAGAGACTTTCAAAGGCCAATCATGAAAACTGTAACCAGAATTTTCCCCTCCATATTCTATGTGTTCACTGTGGAAAAAACACTCCAAAAAGAAAAGATGAAGTTTTTGAGTAGGGAACCGAGGACACAGAATATAATTCACGACTCCCTGACAGATTTGGAGGGCCTACATGAGTCACCTGGTTACATCTACACAATCCATTATGAGTGAAGACAGATTTCAAAGATGCAAGGGACCTGTTTAAAAACAATTAGAAAAAAAATAGTATCGAAGTTTTAACTTGGAGAGAAGAATGAAAACCTAATGGGTCTGTCATCACCAAGTTAAGGTAATTAATGTGAGACATTTGGTATGCTTGAGGGGATCCTTTGAGAGGAGTATTTTTCTACATCCGTAAACTTCTGTATTTGTGGAGGACACAAGCTTATAAATCAAGTTTCAAGATTGAAAAGTATTGTGAACAATTTTGTAACACCACCTATAACTAAAACAACACATATCATTCACTCTTTTCTCTGATGTAGTCTTTTACATGATAACAGAATATTTACGTCAAATATTACACAAAATCAAGTAGATCATCAAGACAATAATACCCTGTAAACTTGCTATAACAAGTCACTTCGCTCTAAACCCAACTTAGAGAAAATTCTACTTTATAGCAAATGAAATTAGAGCAAGTTTACAAACCACAAAGATAATTCAAGGGGAAAAAAAAACAACCAAGTAATTTTATCAGAAATATTTAGGTGGCTGAGATAAAAGCTGGTTTAACTTAAAATAGTCTAATTACAACTGTCATCATTTTTCACTTAGTGAATATGTGGAAAGACTTACAGACTTAGGTTTTCTTCATTACTAAATAAAATATGAAATATAAAAATCAAGTAAAAGATCACATTGCAAAAGTTCTAAAGTCTTACCTCCATCAGAACAAAGAGTGCGGCAAAGAATAGGAGCGTTGCCCATTCCACTCGGTGTAGAATTATCTCAAAATCATGGATATCAGCTAAAATTAGCAACCAGATGGCACCCAGAATAGCAATCCACCCTGAAAAACAAATAAATTGACATGTAGATGTAGTTCAATTGTTAACACATTAATCAATTTTCATCTTCTGATTGCTTTTTTCTTTATCGAGGATAATTGATACTCTACAGACTAAACATATTTAAAATGTACAATTTATATTTTGGCTAATGTATACACCCATGAACCAACACCGCAATCAAGATAATGAATGAAGACATCCACCACTCCCAGCAGTTTACTCATGCCTATGTCCTTGTCTTCTTTCTAGCTCCTCCTGTCACCCCAGCCCACCCCCAGGAAACCATTCATCTTTCTTTCATTACAGATTAGTTTATATTTTCTACATTTTCATAAATGCAATCATACAGCATGTATTTTTTTGTCTGTCTCCATTCAGCACAAATATTTTAGGATTGTTCAATGGGGGTGTGTGGATCAACAGTTCATTCTTTTTCATTGTTTAGTAGTATGTCACAGTATGGCTATGCCACAATGTACACACTCATTCACTGTTGATGGACGTTTGCATTGTTTCCAGTGTTTGACTATTACAAATATATGTGCTATGAATTCTCATATATCATTATCTATAGGTACATACGCTTTCAATCCCCTTGGGTAAATACCTAGGAATGGAATGGTTGCATCATATGATAGGTTATTATTGCGGAATATTTATGTTTTAAGAAACTGTGAAAATGTTTTCCAAAATGCTTGTAACATTTTACAATCCCACTGGCAGTATATGAGAATTCCAGTTTCTCTACATCTTCAACACTTGTCAGCCTTTTTGATTTTTGACATTCCAATGGGTATGAAGTGGTATCTCATTGTGGTTTCAAATTGCATTTCCCTAATGACTAATGATGTTGAGCATCTTTTCATGTGCTTATTTGCCATCCATATATCTTCTTTTATGAAGTTTTTGTTCAAATAGTCTGCTCATTTTTTTTCATGAGTAGAGCAAATAAAACCCAAAATAAGTACAAGAAAAGAAACAATAAAGATTGGAGCAGGAATCAATGAAATAGAAAATAGAAAAATATTAGAGACAAGCAATGACACCAAAACCTGGCTCTTGGAAACGATCAAGAACAACGACAAGCCTTAGCCAATCTGAATACGACAAAATGTGAGAAGACAAAAATTGCCAATATCAAGAATAAGATCAGTGACATGACTATAGATTCTACAGACATAGAAAGATTACTAGTTTTCTATACTTGCCATAGCCCATTACCACAAACATAGTGGCTTAAAATAAAACCTACTTCTTATATCGTAGTTTTCATAGGTCCAAAGTATGCTGGGCTCAGTTGGGTCTCTGACTAGAGCCTCACCAAGACAAAGTCAAGGTGTTGGCAGGGCTGCATTCCTTCCTGGAAGCTCTAGGAGATAATTTGTTTTCTTGCTCATTCAGGTTGTTGACATAATTCAACTCCTTGCAGGTGTAAGACTGTAGTCCCTATTTCCTTGCTAGTTGCCACCCAGGAATTGTTCTCAGCTTCTAGAAGCCACCCATATTCCATGGCTCTTGACCCCCTTCCTCTATCTTCAAAGCCAGCAATGGTGGGTCAAGTCCCTCTCACACTTCAAATCTCTCCTGCCTCTTCTTCTGTCACATCTCTCTAACTGACCCTTTCGTGTTCCACTTCCACTTTCAAGGGCCTATGTGATTACACTGGGCCCACCTGGATAACCCAGGAAAATCTCTCTATATTAAGGTTTATAACCTCAATTCTACCTGCAAAGTCCCTTTTGCCATTTAACATAAGATTCACAGACATTAACATCAAGAATTCGAAAGTGGACACCTTTGACGGGCCATATATGGATTAATTTGGGAAGAATTAGTATTTTAACAATATAAGGTCTTCTGATCTATGAACATGGTGTATATCTCCATTTATTTAGGTCTTCTTTAGTTTTTCCTAAGAATATTTTGTAGAAATTCCAGCCATTCTTTGTGCAGACATTAACAAACTGATTCTAAAAGTCATATGGGAATGCAAAGGACCTAAAATAGCCAATACAACCTTGAAAAAGGACAAAGTTTGAGAACATACATTACTTCACTTCAGGACCTATTATAAAGCTACAATAGTCAAAACAGTGTAGTATTGCATTAATACAGTCAAACTGATCAATGGAGAGTCCTGACATACACCCACACATTGATGGTCAACTGATTTTTAACAAAGGCTCAATGGCAATTCAGTGAAGAAAGATTAGTTTTTTCCACAAATGGTGCTGGAACAATTGGATATCCACATGCAAAAACAAAAAATTTTTGCATTGATCTGTTCGTTGAATCATATATAAAAGTTAACTAAATGGATCATAAGCCTAAATGCAAAACTTATAACTATAAAACTTCTAGAATAAAAAATAGAAAAAATCTCTTTGACCTTGGGAAAGTTTTCTTAAATACAACACTAAAAGCATGATTCATAAAAGGAAATTTTCATAAATTGGACTTTATAAAAATTATGAATTCATGTTTTTCACAAGTCACAGTTAAATAAAAGCAAAGATAAGCCACAGACAAAGAGAAAATATATGCAAATTATTTATCTTATGAAGGACTCGCATCCAGAATACATTTTAAAAAATTCTCAAAACTCAACAATAAGGAAAGAAACAACCCATTTAAGATATTTAAGATAGGGAATATTTTAATAGACACCTCACCAAAGAAGCTATAAGACGGCAAATAAGCACACAAAAAGATGCTCAATACCACCAGTCATTAGAGAAATGCAAAGTAAAACCACAATGACATTTCACTACATACCTTAGAATGCGTGAAATCAAAAAGACCGACAAAACTAAGTGTTGACAAGGATGTGGAGTAATTGGAACTCTCAGACAGTGCTGGTGGAATTATCAAATGCTACAACCACTTTGGAAAAGAGTTTGGCAGTTTTTTAAAACATTATCCATAAATCTACCATACATTCCAAACATTCCACTTTTAGGTGTTAACCCAAGAGAAATTAAAGCATATGATAATACAAAGAATTGAATACAAACGATCACTGTAGTTTCAGTTATAATAGCCAAAAACTGGAACCAATCCAAATGTCCATCAACAGGTGAACTGATGTACAAGTTGTGGCATATTCAAATTCCTGAATACTACTCAGCAAATAAAAAGGAATGAATTACTGATGTATACTACCACATGGATGAATCTCATAATAATTATGCTGATGAAAGAAGCCAGACCAAAAAATACTACATATTATACAACTCTTTTATATAAACTTCTAGAAAATGCAAATAGCAGGGTTAGACAAACTACAGCCCATGGGTCAAATCTGGCTTGTAAATAAATTATTATTGGAATATATCCACAGTCATTCATTTACATATTTTCTATGGCTGCTTTAGCACTACAACAGCAGCATTTAGTTTTTGTGATAGAGAGTGTATGGCCTACGTAGCCTCAAATATTTACTACATCTGGCCCTTTACAAAAAAGCTTGTCAATGCTTGATCTGCAGTGACAGAAACAGATCAAAGACTTTCTAGGTATAGAACTGCTGGGAGAGTCAGGAGGGAGGGATTACAAAGAAGCCCAAAGAAACTTTTAGGTGTGATGCCTGACCACTGCTCTTCATCATGGAGAGGGCCTGACACTTCATCTCCAAACATTCTGTGTCTGATGCCAACTCTAAGGCTCACTGAATTTTACTAGAATATTTTTGCTGTGTCTAGTAAATGTTTCTTGCAAGGTGTGCCTGGAAGACTAAAAGTTCAAATAACTGGGGCATCATCAGATTAACCAAACAGGTTGCACAAACTGATTTATGTCTACTTGTAACTAAATATGTGTTTGATAGATATTTATGTGTGGGGCTTTCATTATAACCATTACAGAGCTAGCCCTCTCCCACCTTCAAGAGTGAGAGGCTACTGTTGTCTACCAAAAAGATGGAGGAGTTCTCCAACACCAAAGTGGATTTGGCCAGTTTGTAACTGGGAGAAGCAGAAAACTTCATTAAAAAAAGAAAAGCACTGGGACCTCAATTGTTTACATAGTTGACGAAAAAATCTCTTGAATAAGAATTAACTGGGTGAATGAAGTATCCTGTCAACCAACAATTGTTGACAATTCTCCACCTTGCATTTAAAAAAATATTAAAAATTGTATGTGTTGACTGTTTCCAATTCTTTCTATTACCCTTACTCTACCTTTAAGGGCTAAAATATAGATTATTTTCTGGAAAACAACAGTTACTGCATGTGACCTATAGAATTTGAAAATATATCCAAACTACCCCCTTGTCCTCTACTATCCTTACTTATTTCTGTTTTCCAAAGTGTACCCATGTCTAGTCTTCTCACGATGTCAGGGAGAACTCCTATTCACCTGGTCCTCACTGAGAGTTTCCTTAACCTGAATTGTTCTATATGCCATTTTTGAATGCCCACTCCATGCCAGGCTCTGCACTTAAGAGATATGGATGGAAACGGAAGCAATATACCACCGTGAATTTCAAGGGGCTCACCGCGTGGGGGAGAACATGCATATATAAGTAAACAGCTGTACTTGATGTAATAGTGCACATGCATACAATTCATTAGAGAGCACCCAGAGAGAGTAACAAAATGTGGTGATTGAGATAAGGTTTCACAGGGAAGGTGATATTCAGGCAACATCTTAGAGGATGAAGATAATTTTCCGGGTAGAGGGGGAAAGGGCATTCAAGAAAAAGGGAAAAGCATATCCAAGGAGAGAGTGTCGAGAAGGAAGACGTCAGAATGCCATCAGCCACATGGTGGAGAGGCAGTTCCAACCTCTGTCCTTGCACAGAAACATCAAAAAACAAGCAGAAACTGTTAAAACCAACTTTGTCAAAACTCTAGAAAGCAGCCAAAGATTTACAGCAACAGTACAAATGCTGAATCAAGAAAAAGGCAATTTAAAATGATAGGAAAGCTTTGTGTTAGTTTTACTTGACCTTGCCTCACCCCCTCCCCAGCATTTCAGTGGTCTTAAAGTAGAGGCAGCC